AGCTGCTGGCAAGGCGGTCGAGGCAGAAGCAGGCCCAAAGCTATCTAGCCATGCGCGATGGCTGGGTTGTTTTTGCGTTTTTAACTCAAGCACACATTGAAGTCGCATAGTGATATTTGATCGGAAGGAACGTATAATAGCATCTGAATTATTCATAGCATAACACTGTAGCGGCGTCTTGTCTTGCCCGCCGTTACAATTGATACTAAGTCATCAAGTCTTTGCGCAAGTAAACACAGCTTCTCAAACGCATAATTTGCAACACATAGCACATCGGTTTGATTGAAAAAAGTAATGCTAACGCAGATAGTGAAAAGTAGGTAACTGAATTTTTTTTTTAATGACAATTCGTTCTACATTATCGAAGCGATATTTATAATGATGTACGAGACGACATGCCACCACCCAAGTGGAATCTGACCAAATGTCGCGTTGCATTAGTCGCCACCAACACTTTCCTTACCAAGATTTGTGTACTATAACCAAATACTATTAACATTTAAATATGGGAATGGACTTCATATAGTGAATGTGACGTTTGGTCATGTGCGACGCGGTGTGCCATTTTAAGCGGGAAAAGGAAAGAAATACCGCGTAGCCTTTGGAATTAATCAAATTACATAAATTATTATGCGGTAAGCTTTACCTTTATTTTAATGGGAATTGGTATATACTGAGCGCCATGGAAAACGCATCACTTAGTTTTTCGTATAACAAACTGATCCTGTAAATATATCTTATTTATTTTGCTTCTTATTGTGAACAATATTCAAATGGGAACACATCAATAACAACACATTTGTACACTTATGGATGTTTAATCTGCAATCAAGGGTACAAAGTCAAAGGGGTCAAAACCAAAAGTACGACACAGATGTCAGTAGCGCGAGTGTCCTCCACGGGCCACCATCGCGGTAGGCTACAGCATTAACGCGACCCCTGCAAATGTGTAGGGCGGTCCGGTGATGAAATGTGAATCCTCCCCACACCATTACACTTCCCCCACCCCATCGATTCGTTTCAAAGACGCAGCAGTCTGCAAGACGTTCCCCAAGACGTCTCCACACACGTTGACGGCCATCAGCGTGATAAAGATGAAAGCGACTCTCATCACTGAAGAGCACACTTTGCCAGTCTACTCTTCTCCATGTCTGGTGCCCGTCTTCATTAGCCCAGTATAGGAGCAGAACAGTAGGACGTTAAACCCCATTTCAGTTCATTTCATTTCCATGTCTGGTGTCCTTGAACCCATATCAAACGCCGCTGACGATGATGATCCCTGAGGATAGCTCCAATATAAGGTCGTCGTGCACGGAGTCCTACTTCTCTTAGACGACGTCTTACGGTGTTGGCACTTACTGGTTCTTGTCTTCCGACGACTGCTGCACCTGTTCGAGTCGCTGGGCGGAATCTGTCACGCAGATGAGTGACCCGGATGTAGCGGTCTTGAGCCTGGGTTGTAACGCGTTGTGGACCAGGACGTTGACGGTCACGTGTTGATCCAGTAACTCGAACACGTTCCACCAACCTTACAATAGTGGACTGATGACAATTGAAGTGTCTGGCAATAGCACGTGTAGACATGCCAGTCCTGGACATTCCCGTGGCTTCATTCCGTTGATTTTCAGTAAGTCTCGGCATCTCTAGCTCGATTCCTTCACACGTCCAACAACAAATTACGACAGATTGACGTTTCACAGTTCATGTACTGCACATTATGTTGAAAACATGCTTTTAAAGGGCTCACACACAATGCTGCACATGAATATTGGGTTTTTCATGTGCATCTCGTGCAATTTTTTTTTGTGCACACGGGCCGATATTTTTTGCGTTTGGGAGCATTGTGTGAAACAATAGTTCATTGTATTGCATAATATTATACATACAAAACCACCTAGTAATAAAATATTTGGGAAAAAAAAGTGATGCGTTTTCCATGGCGCTCAGTCTTTAAGCTATGAGCGGTACACTTAGTGAGCAGCTTAATTGGATATTAAGGGAGTTTTAAGTAACTATTTATACGCCCCTGTCCGTCCGGACATCCGTCTGTTCATATTTTTTTGTGCACACTCTACAGGTCAAAATGTTAATCCGATTTTTACGAAACTTAAAACATAGGTTTATATCCCAAAGACCTCGGCTCCTTTCAATATTGGCGCATATCGAACCCTGATGGCCCCTGATTGTATGAAAAATCGAGTTTTTAGCTTGTGGGCCCTCTAGAGGTCACAATTTATATCCGATGTAAAAAAAAAGAATGTTTAAATATATTATTGTTCCACCATACTGACGGTTGAGTTCGAATTTCATGAAAATCTGATCGAAACTGTCCAACAATTTTTATCTTATTCTAATGAAACTTAAAATATATGTTAAACCACAAACATCTCAGTTCATTTCGATATTCACGCATATCGGACCTTAATTTCGTGGATCAAGGCCCCTGATTGTACGAAAATTCGCGTTTTTAGCTTGTGGAGCCTCTAGAGGTCACAATTGTATCCGATTGCGATGAAACTAAAATATATGTTTATATCCCACAGATACTTGTCTATCTCTTGCAAAATGTGGACGTATCTTAATTTGTCTTGCATAACAACCGCTTGTTTGTAATCATAAGTATACAAAAAAATGCGCAAATGAAGTCCCCATAACCACCCACTACTGTGACTGGGTGCAAGACAAAAGATATCAGTGGTGGAATCATTTCTATGCATCAGAATCTTGCCAACACGTGTAGTCTCGTTTCTCGTATCACCCGGGGATAAAAAACGGAACACTGGAAGACGGGTGTTCAGTTTGATGTAATGTATTACCCCCCACCCCTTTTCCTCGCCGTAAAACCCCAATCTGTTTCACAGAGAATTACGAGTCTAGAGTAAAATCTCTGTCAAAGATGGCTGCCTTAACACGTGCCGTCACAGCACGCGGCGTCAATCATTGACTGAATGGTGCGTGCATTGTTTACATAAGACATTACTGCTTCGGGCGGAATGCTGCCTTATAGTCATTTTAATACCCATTTACACTAAATAGGAAATAATTTTTACCTACAAATACGTCAAACGCCTTTATTTATTTTTCCAATACATAAAAAAAAAATGTTTTAGAATTTAATTTGTCGCAAGAAAAAAGTTAATATTTCTGGCTCATTAAGTCGCATCGATGTCATCCTTATCAGTGATTGTAGCGGCCTAGCGAAAAATTCACTGCTGATCAGTGTGGTAAAACCCATGTACCCGCAGTCCTGCTGACCATGCTAAAATTCACAAAGCTGAATATGTCACGATTGAATGACGTCTGGTAAGGGTAGAGAGCTTGGTTGTTGGTGTCCTATTTTGTGGTGGGTGAACAAAATTTAATCGAAGAGTCTTACAGCATTCGATGAGCCAGTAACCATGATAATACAAACAGCAAGCCAGCTTATTTGACGGCATTTCTTGTCTTGGCATTTAAGAATACTCAAATTGTGCATTGCCAACGGGTTAAATGTTTATTGTAACAAGGGTAAGTGTGATCTCTTGTAATTGATTCATCCATATATAGGTATGTATTAAAGATACATTATTTACGAGATACATTTGGATATTGTGGGTTTTTAGTTTGGTTTCAAATGCTATATAAATTATTATTTATTCACATGACAAACGTATAATCATCTCTCTAGAACATCGGATGGCGGAGATTTAAGCAGATTGAAATACGATCGCCATTTAATGATTTAATTTAAAAATGGAGAGGCGAGACTTAGTCTCGATTAACAAGTAAGGCTGCTACGATAAAATACATTCTTTTCAACATCTTGTCAAGCTTCAAACAGTAATTACGTCGCTCAGAATATTTTTAAAAAGAATTCGAATGAAATTTGAATATATTAATTATCTATTTTGGAACTAGTATAGCAAGAACGACCAGCTCTAAATATTACATAATGCATCTTTAATGTGGTTAACTCTCTGTACACGGTCCAGAATGTCGGCAACGAATGTATGATAACTACAGACAACTTTATGCAGGACCGGATTTACCTCCAAACTCCCCAAACATTCCACCAGTTGAAGATTACTGTAGGCCTATACTAATTATCAGGGCCCCTAAATTGACACATAGCCTACTATGCCTATTGGTAAACCCTACCTGACTTAATGTCTGTGATTCATTAAGTTTATAAACCGTCATCGTTACAAAAGGTTGCATTTAATAAGCCCAGGGAATGATATCCATACAAAGCTGTGTGTTATATAATGCCTTATTTTCTCTTTAAATGCCCTTTAAAGGGACAATAACACTCTTGCTGGCTTGACAGCTCCAGAAAATAAAAAATAGCCTTATTCTAAGTACTAGATGTGTTAGTGTCCTACCTGTTGTGTAAATTATCTATTAAATCCTATTTTACTTGTCCAAAGGGTTCAAAAATATTTTTAAATCCAAGTCACATTTGAAAAGCTTTACGTCAGGCTTTTCAAATCATTTAGTTGAATTTTTCCAATTTTTTTAAATTAGGTGTGTTAAGATGAAATTTGTATCATCAATTAATTGGAATATTGTAAAATAGTACAATTTGTTGACCAGAATAAAGATTAGGACATATTATTCAGTTACAACAAGAGTGGTATTGAGCCTTTAAAGATAACAAATGGAAGAAATCTAATTATATCTGATATCCGTAAACTATCGTATTTTTCCTTTGTTTTTCAGAACTCTGTTTATTCTAACTTACTTCCCTTAGATAACAGCTATGTAATGCAGAATAGAAGAAGTTGGTTAGATGACCATACTTGCCGATGATGATGCAGCGCGGCGCGATAGTTACGCTTGTTAATTCTGTCAGTGCAGCGCTACTGATATATATATGAACTCGTTATAATAAACTGGTTTCTGTTTCTCCTCTTTTCAGTACAGATGTCGAGCTTAATTTAAAAAATATCGTCGCATATATTATTCTTATAAATATATTACTGATATTTCTTACATACTTATTATAATTTAATTCTTTTCAGATTGTCAAACCGTAAACGATACTATCTGTGTACCACACAATATGAATCATGTATTTAACGCAACTTATATTAAAGGACCGGCACTCTACTTGGGTTATTTCTGTGTCTGTGGTGATAATGGAGTTGTACAAAACTGTACGGAATCAACCTTTCTGAACTTGAATTGAGTATTCACCCAAACCGCAGGCACCTGAAGGGATTAAAATTTCTTACATTATCTTGTCTAGAATACTCCAGTTGAATACTAGTCAATATTATGTGAGACGTTTTATTTTAATCTTTTCAAGTGACTGTGACCCGTATGACTTTATTGTTAATGTGTATGGGTGTTTAAAATTTGTGAATTCATTCAATTAATAAAAGGCATTTGTAAATTCAACTTTATGTAATACACTGTTAAAAATATTTTGGTTATTTTACCCTAAAATTACGGGCAGCAAAAGTTGCCCCTAAATCATAGGTAAAATTACACCATTAGTTATTTAACAATTTACTGTCGAAGGACATATCTGTTAATTTACATCTCTTGTAAAAATACATCACAATGTTAATTTACATTTCTTGTAAAAATACATCACACTGTTAATTTACACTTTTGTTAAAAATACTAATATTGGTAATTTTACATGCAAGATTCGAGCAATAGCCCCGGGTAAAATATTTCGTATTAATATCACTTCAATATATATTGAATATCGATAATCCTGTTTGGTGAACGAGAGCATGGTTCCAGGCTTTCAGATGTAAGCTCGCGGTACTATCTATTTGCAGGCATTATAACCCTGCTTTACAGACAGTCCGGCTCAACTAACACTGGCCAATCGGTTTAATTTACCGTCTTCAAGTGAACTTGAAAACGAGATAATACAACCTACGGCCAGAAAGTCAAAACATTTTTTTTTATGCAATTAAGAAAATACTTACAAACTGATTAACGTACGCTAAATATCAATACACTTTATAGATCTTATAAATAATGGAAACTAGATATACATGACATGCAATATACTAAATTTACAAGATGTGATTGTCCATATTATGGTTAATAAATTGAAATGAATACCATAAGAAGATAATTATTAGGAATGTTTCGTTTCTATGGAATACTAAAATACAATAAGAGATAGTAAATTTACCGAATAAGTAAATTTACCGAATAAGTAAATTTACAAAATAACGTGAATAAACGTAAGTCTGTAAAATGACATGCTGGCTATGTTATTTTCCGTTCAATATTTTAAGGTAAAAACAAATTCTTTAACTGCTGTAATTTTACTTATATTTCTTACCTAAAAGTAAATTACATAATAATGTGAACAAACGTAAAATCTGTAAAGTAACACGCTTGCTGAATATGTCTTTGATTCCATCGCCACTTATTGCCAAAAAGACATGAAACTCGATAAACATACTTGAAACTCGGTAAAAATACATTAGACTTGGTAAAAGTAGTATATGTTGTAAAATATACCGATAATTGAGGTACAAAAAAACCTTGTACTACTGTAATTTTACATTCATTTCTGACAGTTTACCTGGTGGTTGTAACATCATTTGCTATTTGGTTGTGGACTTCAACGGTCACTGTTAATTGGTTGTGTGTTGAGAAATGTTAACAAAAATATTTCAAGGTTTGCTTTCATTACTATTGAATAAAACATTTCTGTGATTTCAACATTTTACGACAACCAATTTGGGCTACGGTACATCTTCCTATAGTTTGAATACACTGAACATTACTGTATTTTGACGTTACGTATGTAAAAATAAATTATTTCACGGTAAAATCACCTGTATATTGTTTTTTTTACGACTATTTGTACTATCACTCCTGTTTGGTGTAATAAAACATACATACGTAAAATAACATACAACTACGTAAATATTTTACCACATTCTTACGGTAAATTAACATTTATTTCTAACAGTGTAGTTATGCTAATTACTGATAAATTTTATAGACTAATGGATTTTGGACTAAAGTTATATGCAAGGTATCTTATAATGTTTTAGTTTTTTTCTGTTATATATCTTCAAAGGGCGTATAGCTCTATTCTTTGGAAACTTAAGGTAGACAAAAATAGTTCTAAAAGCACATATTAATGTAATATGATTGTCCATAAAGTGCTTTATGTTCAGTTGTTTAAATATGTTATTGTAATTTCTTATCAATGATGTTCGGTGAAATACGTGAGAAGCCCAAATTGAACGGCAATCGTTTGCTTGTTCTATTATACAATTATTATTTTTTCGTTTTTAATTATTTCCGCATTGTCTTGTGTGCTATGTTTTTTCTTTGTTCATTACAAATGGCACTCGTAACCACAGGGTACACAACTCCGTGTACTGATTTCAAAATATTCATTGTGTCTTAAATATTGTATATTAGGATCCCACATTTTCACGATAAGATAACGACATCAATATTGATTGAAATGGACCGATAATGGATATTATTAGGTTAGAGGTTTAGCTCTTTTCAAGACTGTGATAAATTATGCTTTACATTTTCAATTTGTGATTTTGTTATCTGTCACTGTTTCTACTTCAAACAGACACATTATATGAGTACTGATATGACGTGAACATTGTGTGTGTTTATGAATTTCAACAGAAAAAATATTTTTGTTAAAATGATCTCCAACATAATGTTCATTGTCTGTATTTTGTGTTTTGCTCTTTCCACATTTTGTAACGATATTGGACAATTCCATATTTCAACCTTTGTATGTCTGTTATAAATTATAAACCGATCAATGTATGAATATATATTATTATTGATATGAAGGATTGTTTTAGTGTTATATGTAAATATTAAGTTTTCAGGTGGGGATATAATTATTTGGTCCAAAATTAAATATGTCTATAACATGTTTGTGTAATATTTTTTTTTCTCCGATTAAATGAGCATAAAACCTATGTTTCATGAGCGTCTAACACTACAATCCCTTCTTTTGACTCCCTTAGTCGCGGCAGTCAACAAATATTGTCAAATATTACGGGCGTTCATTTGCACTTCACGTTGTGTTCCTAAATTACCATCACTGCGACGTTGTAAATTCATTAATAAACCCAAACAAGTATGGCAAACTAGATTTATATACTATTACCTATTAAACGTTAATCAGACCTAAAACCCCAAAAGTCCAAACACCATCTTATGCGCCCGTCGGTCTGAAGTACGGATGATTTCTTGTTAAAACCTACATGGCGTCTTATATATTCTATTGGTAGTATATAATGAACTATAACTGCCAGCTCTATATTTACCACTAGCTAAGGCAGATTAGCAGTAAAACCAACTATACGTTCTCCGCACAGTCTATGAATGAAGAGTGGGCCCTAGGCGATTCGAATTTGTATCAAATTTACTTAGAAAGTTTGGATGAGTAATACCTGAAGGGTGGGGGGGGGAGAGGATTAATCCCAGGATAAAAGAGGCAATTCCTTAAAGATGCATTACTCAAGAGCAAAATCTACCTGTTGCAGGTTTTTCTTTGAACCATAAATATTATATAAATTATTAATTAGACATTTAGTAACATGACAAGACCACAGGCAACTCTATGTCATCGGATAGCACCGATTTTAAGTAAATGTGAACGGTTAATTTAATGATTTAATTTAAAAATGAGGAAGCGACGTTAAGTCCCGGGTAACCAGTGCCGTGCTTACGATAATAAACAATCAATGAACACATCTTGTCAAAACTACAAACAGTGGTAATTTCTCTTAGACTAAAGTAATTTGAATGACATTTTCAATATATTCATTTTGCATTATCTATCTAGCTCTTTATTTAAATATTACATAATGCATCTTTAATAATAACAATTAGTTAAGGCCCCGCGTTCCCTATTTGCTTCTTAACATCATTAACATACGGACCTAGACCTTTGACCCAACACTTGCCTTATAAGGAAACAGTGTGTATCTGGGTTTTTTTCAAAGAATAGTTCCTTGTTAAATAGATGAGTGGGATCGAAGAGTGAACTATAGTGAAAATGATTTTTTCCCAAGAAATCACCTTAACCGATTAACCTTATTAATGCAACTTAACCCCATATCGCAACGATTACCAAATGTTTAATGTGTGCTCTTATAGCCACTAAGTAAGAATTGACTCACCTTTCCAAAACATCCATAGAGCCTTGATAAACAGAAGCAATACTATAACAATAATTGGCCGCGCCCCTCCGTTGCTAGTCAGACAGTCTAGTTAGGGAAACCACGGTCATAGGCCTACGAGCCAGGGGGAGGGGGGGGGCTGCCCCCTAACTTTCGGGCAATCTGACTTTTCGGGCAGACGATAAAGTGAAAAAAAAAAAATTATTTCATCTACTTGGCAAAATAATGTGCCTGAAATCTAATAAAACACTAATTTTACTTTTCTTTTAATTGAATACCACGAACTTTTGTATTAAATTGACTATGGATTAAAACATTTTGTCTGGAGTCACTCTACTTTGTGCGACATTTTTCGGGCATCGATTACTATTTGAGCATGCATCTGCAACATTCTGATTGGTTGGAATTCAGGTCGACATAGAGTCGGATTTCGGTTACAAAACCATTGGACATCTTTGGAGTTTTAACTCGCAGGCTACAATAGCAGAAAAACGCATTTGCGGCGGTTAAATTTTCTCCGTGAGGGCGAGTTTGGAGTTGCTTAACTCGCAGGCTACAATAGCAAAAAAAACGCATTTGCGGCGGTTAAATTTTCTCCGGGAGGCCGAGGCCCCCATACCCCGCGACGATTGATTGGCTGTTTGGGATTCGGGTCAGCCAAGTAGGCTATATTGGACGGACCATATTGAAGTTGCTGTATTCACGGGCTGGAATAGCAAGAAAACGCGTTTGCGGTCGTTAAATATTCCAAAATTTTCGCCTCTCGCAGAAGACCGGTGCCGCTGTCTGTAAACCCGAAAATTTTTCGGGTATATCGGGTTCTGCCCCCTAACTGTCATCGATCCCGTACGCCTATGCTCTGAATGATGTCTGAGTAAAATATATTAATTTGTAACCTTTATGCGCGGTCACATATTTTCTCAATAACATTCAATTTCTTTTACTGTTAATTGTGTGTGTGTGTGGCGGGGGGGGGGGGGAGGTGAGGAGGCCTATATTTGGATATAATTCAGCTTGGTTTTCCCTTCGACCCGCTTCTGTTACCTTGATCCCCAGTAAATGATTACTCCTTTCGTGGAAAGGTGGAGTAGGACTAATAGGCTTTTATAGGGTAAAGTCTAGAGCCAACTGCATGCATATTTCGTCAAGGTCGCGAGATGTGAACAGGCCTGGGGCACGTGATTGTTGGCGAGATTTTGGGTAAGGACTAGGTTTAGGGGTAGGGTTAGCGATAGCCCTGTTTACATCTCGTGACGTTTGACCAAATCTGCAGTTGGCCTTAATTTTTAGACCTAACCCATATATAGCCGACCAGATAACAATTCCGTTAACAAAATAAATACACTATTCTAATGATCTGAGTTGACTATTTGTCTCTTTCACTCGAGAAGTAATCATATCCCGAGGGAACATGTGCTATCTATCTGTGGAAATAAAATGAAATGGGGTTTAACGTCCAACACTTTTGCTCCGATTGGGCTAATGTACTATCTATCAGTGAAATTTTTCCCAGACAGCGACACTACAGTCTACTCTTATTTATAATTCAAACTGTCAAGGGTTCTTCTACGTGCACCCCAATGTGGACACTCGTGGACCTCGGGTTTTCGTCCATCCGGACGTCTATACGTTGTCCCTTGTCAGACCCTCTGTCTTTCACCGCTGACATGCGGGGAAGAACGCCGGGAAATACCAACGACTTTTCTCGGCTAACACCGGTACTACCATCTTCAATAGAAGTCTTGATCTCGACTTAACTACGTACATCTTATCAAGCTAGATGTTGTAAAACTCGCGGTCGTTGCTTCAGGAACATGCGGTACTACCAGGTTAGTTAGCCAACGTCTCACTCGCTGAGTTCTACCGTGGCTCCATTCTATCTTTGGAGGTGTATAGCTTCAAAATGTATCCCAATTAATTTTTCAGAACAAGACTAGCTGAAACGCAGTTAATACACATAAATATTGCTATCAAATGATATTACCTATTATGATAGACTCAATGTTAAAAATTGTTAGCAAACGATGGTCTTTAAAGGGACAATAACACTCTTGCCGGCTTGACAGCTCCAGAAAATAAAAAAAAAGCCTTATTCTAAGGGCTAGATGTGTTAGTGTCTTACCTGTTGTGTAAATTATCCATTAAATCCTATTTTACTAGTCCATACGTCAGGCTTTTCAAATCATTTATTTGAATTTTTCCAATTTTTTTAAATTAGGTGTGTTAAGATGAAATTTGTATCATCAATTAGGCCTAATTGGAATATTGTAAAAGGCTGGGGCTATTTGCCACATGTGGTAAGACAATCCGGAGACTATTTGCCACATATGTGGCAAGTCTCCGTACCGCAATTATCAACCGATTTCAATGAAATTTACAGATAACGATAACATTAATAATATCTCAGCGTGGGTAAAATTTCGACCACTTCCGGTTAGCGGTTTCGGAAATATCAGGTTACCACACATTTCATGTGGCACGGCTACAGACCACAATTATCAACCGATTTCAATGAAACTTGCAGATTATAATTACTTTAATAATATCTAAGAGTAGCTAAAATTTTGACCACTTCCGGTTAGCGGTTTCCGAGATATCAGGTTACCACACATTTCATGTGGCACGGCTACAGACCACAATTATCAACCGATTTCCATGAAACTTACAGAATATAACAACATTAATAATATCTCAGAGTAGCCAAAATTTCGGCCCTTTCCGGTTAGCGGTTTCCGAGATATTAGGTTACCACACATTTCATGTGGCACGGCTACAGACCACAATTATCAACCCATTTCAATTATAATTGATTACATTAATAATATCTCAGAGTAGCCAAAATTTCGGCCACTTCCGGTTAGCGGTTTCCGAGATATCAGGTTACCACACATTTCATGTGGCACGGCTACAGACCACAATTATCAACCGATTTCAATGAAACTTGCAGATTATAATTACTTTAATAATATCTCAGAGTAGCCAAATTTCGGCCACTTCCGGTTAGCGGTTTCCGAGATATCAGGTTACCACACATTTCATGTGGCACGGCTACAGACCACAATTATCAACCGATTTCCATGAAATTTACAGAATATAACAACATTAATAATATCTCAGAGTAGCCAAAATTTCGGCCACTTCCGGTTAGCGGTTTCCGAGATATCAGGTTACCACACATTTCATGTGGCACGGCTACAGACCACAATTATCAACCCATTTCAATTATAATTGATTACATTAATAATATTTCAGAGTAGCCAAAATTTCGGCCACTTCCGGTTAGCGGTTTCCGAGATATCAGGTTGCCACACATTTCATGTGGCACGGCTACAGACCACAATTATCAACCGATTTCAATGAAACTTGCAGATTATAATTACTTTCATAATATCTCAGAGTAGCCAAAATTTCGCCCACTTCCGGTTAGCGGTTTCCGAGATATCAGGTTACCACACATTTCATGTAGTACGGCTACAGACCACAATTATCAACCGATTTCCATGAAACTTACAGAATATAACAACATTAATAATATATCAGAGTAGCCAAAATTTTGGCCACTTCCGGTTAGCGGTTTCCGAGATATCAGGTTACCACACATTTCATGTGGCACGGCTACAGACCACAATTATCAACCCATTTCAATGAAACTTGCAGATTATAATTACTTTAGTAATATCTCAGAGTGGCCAAAATTTCGGCCACTTCCGGTTACCGGTTTCCGAGATATCAGGTTACCACACATTTCATGTGGCACGGCTACAGACCACAATTATCAACCGATTCCCATGAAACTTACAGAATATAACAACATTAATAATATCTCAGAGTAGCCGGCCACTTCCGGTTAGCGGTTTCCGAGATATTAGGTTACCACACATTTCATGTCGCACGGCTACAGACTACAATTATCAACCGATTTCCATGAAACTTACAGAATATGACAACGTTCATAATATCTAAGAGTAGGCAACATTTCGGCGACTTCAGGTTAGCGGTTTACGAGATATCAGGTTACCACACATTTCATGTGGCACGGCTACAGACCACAATTATAAACCGATTTCAATGAAACTTGCAGATTATAATTACTTTAATAATATCTACGTCATACCTCGAAAATGTTCTCAGGCGGAGCTAGCTGTAGACAGGCAACCTAAGTTTGGGTTGGTTATCAGCTTGAAAAATAATCGGTATTTGTCGGTAAATAGAAACGAAATCAACCGACGTTCAAAATAGCCAAAAATTTTCGGGGACTAAATTATTGACTATAGAATGATATACATTTTGTTTATAACGAAACTATGCAATGGGTGCCGAAAAGTCGCGAATTTTTTTTTTTGTGAATAGGAGGTAGAATTTAAACAATTTTCACAGCAAAATGAGCTAAAAACAGCAAAATAAACAATTTTCAATGCAAAACGAAATCGAAAATATTTGCCGCTTATAGGAGGGTTGGGGGGCATAAATCAAGGTTATCGAATTAAGAATTCCGTCGACCACACTGCGCAGTAGAAAATGAAATTAAGAAATGTTTTCTTTATAATTGTCCCAAAATATTAGAATTTATAAGAGTAAAAGACGACGACGTTGTATTGAAAAGGCTAACACTTAAAAACGTTGTGAAAATTCACTGCTGATCAGTGAGATAGCATCCACGGACAGAAAAGTGCCAGAAGAGGTATGCCTATGGTCCCCCCACCCCAGCCCCAGCCAGCTAGCTAGCTAGCTAAGTCGCTTGCTTGCTTGCTTATCCAATGACGTCCAATATAAAAATATTACTACCAATGATTTGCTAGAGAGCTCATTTACTGCGGTCCGATTGAATCCGGAAGTAGTACACACGTGGGAAATGAAAACAAACTCTGGAAATGTAAATAAAGTAGGACTTTAGTGAATCTTAGACCAGTTGAATTCTGTTATTGTTTTATAATCTCAGAAATAGAAGATGACGCAGCTTAAATCAAGGTAATGTCCGTTATAATATCCCGACCGCCACATTCATGACAGACTGGTTGCGTTTTCCCTAAGGCTTACTTCTTAAATTTGATAGATTGAAGTACATGTCGTCATGTAAATTAAATTCAGCCTCCGCTCAAGAGATAATTCCCAGTATATTCTGTCGTGTGCACGACACCATTATTATTTACAGCAATGTATATATCAGACTTGAATTAAACATACCTGTTCACAGATGACAACAGACCAAAGGAGGGTCAGTAACTTAAAGTAGCTAAGTCTCTAAAGTCAATATGAATATCATCCAAAATCTTCGACATTGAAAACACGATTTATTTGTCGGTTTAAATCAACATTGATGTTGTGATCTTACCGGGAAAAGATGGGTTTCTGATATCCAGTATATAAGACAAAATAATGATTTTACAATTGGTACACAAATCGTTTCAGCGCTATTTGTAAAAAGGGACTCGAAAAACGAGGCTAGGGATATTCCACATGTCATGTCAAACGGTGACACTATATTCTTATCTGGAGAGCAAGCCCAAAAAATAATATTGGCGTAGACTGGAATAACCAGACGCTAGAAGAGATTGAAATTCGATTGAGAATACTGGCGTATTTCGCCAAACCTAACTGATTAGAAATTACAGTAAAAACAGAAACGATTGAATGTAAATCAATTTATATACATTCATATTACATTATTGTATGTGTTGCGACCCATTTGTGTCAATTTCTAGGTCCCAAATATTAGCGACTTAGCTTCTTTAATTAGGACCTCAGTATTATTAGAGGTAATTTTGGTCATTTTTTGGGGTGATGTCAGACAAATGTACTGTAACTGTACAATAGAAATATATTATTCAGATTTTCACTGTCACCACACTCGATTCATATGTGACCAATTTAATTCATCTACTGTTGCGGCAAACTCCACGGCACTGTCATTTTTATATAATTACATAACCACACTTGACTCCTATACCAATTTAATTCATCTACTGTTGTGGCAAACTCCACTGTATTGTCATTTTAATGTACATAACCTAAGAAGAATTGGCGATGCTAGTGCACCATGTTTTAATTACATAATGCATGTGTGCTCAGCTCTTACAGAGTCATACTCCTTTCAGTGATCTTGATAGAGTAAGTCGGCTAAGAGTCATGTTGACCAGTTTACTGTAGAGTGCTGAAAATGTCCGCTGATTATAATTCTGAGAGGATTACACCATAAATCATAAATTATACGAAATGGTGGTCAAACTGTACAATGCAGAGATCAAATTGTTCTTATTCAAATTAATTTCTTCATTTCAGTTTCAAAATTGAAACAAAATTAGAAGCTTTTTATACAGAAGGTAAAATTGAGGTATGTTTATCTTAGATTTTCATATAGAAATACAGGTATGAAATGGTATTATAAAGTGATAATGAAGACAGGCATACACTATAAATTGTGCCTTGACAGTGGTATTTATGTCTTCTACTCATCAAATTCGAACCGTTGTGAATTCTTTTACATGCATACATACCAAGCTGTGGACACAGGACTTAGGTATTTAGTATAGTACCAGGTGTTCACAAAAGGGATAGCATGTCCTGAACTGTTGTTGTGTTATATGAAAAGCTTAGTATGATAAAATGGTAGGATTGTGTACTATAGTGAGTCTAAGAGGGTTGGTTTCACCAGAGTATGGGAAGATGGGAGTGACATGGTTAAAGTTACAATTTCATATTTTCTAAGAAAGTCAAAAAATAATTATTTCTATGTCTTTTGCTCAATAGGTTGTCAACTCACTATTATACGATCATAGGTGTCATTCTCACACTTAAAAAACTCATTTACACCGGAAATAATAACACAATTACCTCCCTTGTTTTCTATTCTCCACAATGGTGTAGTTATCTTCAAACGTTGGAATTTGAAGATGAAAATGATATTTTTGCCAATTTCTCAACTGGCAATAGTGAATTATAGGATTAATAGGATTATTCTTTAACACGGTAGGACTGTTAATAGATACCATCTATTTTAGGGCTTTATTTTAATAAATTTTAAAAATATAACTTAAAAATATGAAATTGCAACTTTAAATAATTTTATGTATAATGTAGAAGTATCTCACTATAATAAAGGTGTTGTCAGTGAATTCCTACATCAACATTATAGTGAAGACCTAGTTAATATTGATAATCATTTAATGCTTTCCCATTTTCTTTTCAGATAAGTCGAAATGGCCAGTTTATGTTTTGTGGGTGTGGTCAGAAAGTTCAGATGCTTGACATACAGACAAGTAACCTGGCAGCAACATTTTCAAAGGTAAAAAGGTCTCTCAACGCACTTCACATGTATAACAAAGTCAAATAACAGGTCATTTATTGATTTCCTGTGGTAACACCTATTAAAATATCGTAGTCCTATTTCTTGAGTGAACAAAATGTAATCTAATAACCAGAAATACTTAGTTGCACTTTTCAAAAGCCTTTACAGTTCCACATTATCATTTCTCTGGTTGTACGTAATCAACAGTCACCATAATCTACCGATAACACAATTGAATTGTTTTCTTTCAATACTTAGTCTATGTTGGTTACTTATACTGATAACATATAATGTGTTTTATTTAGGAAGAAGAAGTGGTCACAAACTTTATTTTGAGTCCAGATGACCAGGTAAGAAACGTTACAGTTTGAATTTAGATTGGTATGTTTTCTCTTAAAAGTCTTATGTATCTGTATTGTGTAATGGGATTGGTGGTGCCAGGTTGCTAATCAGAAGGTTGGCAGAGAAAGTTGATCTGGATTTTCCAGTGTGGTTTCCTCGTGTCAGTGGTGCAGGATGGAAGGCCTGGCATAGAACAGTTTGTGAGCATTAATGTACACCTAAATGGACCCTTGAAGTTGGAATTTGATATAAGAGTAGGCTGTAGCATCATTGTCCAGACAAAATGCTCCTCATTGCATAGCATATGCCTGTCTTCATTCGCCGACTTGGCGCAAGAAAAGGAGGACATTAAAAACCATTTCATTTATTGTATAATTTAGTAAACTTAGTTTTTGTCTAAATATGTTAGAGAAATAATCAACATGATAATATTGTCTTTTCAGTATTTGATAATTGCATCACAGAACCTACTTCTACGACAGTGGAACTGGAAAGATAAGAAACTTATCAGATCATGGAGGGTAATGATGCTTTATTTTATAATCAAGTGGGCTAAATCCTCTTCTTGGAAAGATTTTTACTTGACGAGTAGTGTTGTCTGCTTGTTTAGAGTGGGGTTGTTTCCAGGTATTTAAATTTCTGCCTGCTGCTAAAGAACCCCATACACAAGATAATTATTTAAATATACATATACTATTTGTTAGTCCCAAAATAATGTGGTTAATGTCCAATAGACAATAAATCCCATTTCTTTCTTTTCTTTGAAACTCCTCTGATGAGTAAAATGAACCAACAAAACAATTGTTTCCTCAATGTGACTAACTGCATTTATCTTTAATTTTTGAGAATTGTCTCCCTTACTAATATTATGTAAGATTTAGATAAAGAACTGACCGTTGTTGCTATACTAGTTCAAAAATAATTAATGCAATATGAATATCCCGAAAATTTCATTTAAATTACTTTATTCAGAGCCCAGTTATCACTGTTTGAAGTTTTTACAAGATGTCGCATAGATACTTGGTATTCGAGATTTAGCTTTGCTTCTCACTATTTAAATTACATATTAAATGGCGACCATGGTTAAATCTCCACCATCCGATGGCCTAGAGAGTTGAATATAGGCTTGTCATGTGAAAAAATGTCTAAATAATAGTTTGTATTATACCCAGGTTTATCACTACATTGTACCAAAAGTATTTATCGGGTGGCTGTTTCCAATAAAATATGACAAATTTGGTACATTATATATGGAAAGTATAGAAATCCATCTTACTAGAAAAATACTGGATTACCGGAAAAACACCCATGGGGCAAGCACTGGGCAAAAGTGTCAGGGTATCACTAACTGGCAACCCGACTGTTGTCTGCAAGTGGATTGTGTACTAGCTAGGACTGAGGGAGCGGTTGTTATTTCACGATCAAATTGTTAGGCAGTTTTGGGAACATTAAGGGATGTCAGATACAAAAGACTCTGCAATTAAATGACGGAAAAAGAAGTTGACAGAAAATAATTAAGAATTTACTTAGGCCTCAATATGTATGGTAAATGGACATTAAGTAATGAAAAATACATTCTGAAAAATGGACCTTCCCACAATGAAGCAAGGTGACAGACAGACATGACATCTAACAACAGTTTATTTATAGCTATAGGTATCTCCCTGCGATAACAAGGTTTTGAGAGGGATTTGAAGCAAATGTTTGATAGATTGGTTACTTTGAATATGTTTTTAGTCCAAATATATCATCAAACCACACAGTTTGTATGTGAGAAAGTTTCTTTAAATATGTTGATGCAATAAATTTAACACAAATAATTTATGAATAAATTGGTTTTTTTAGGCAATTCACAGAACTCCTGTTATATCAATGGCATTTGATACTACCTCTACGTTACTGGCTACTGGTAGTACGGATTTTACTATTAAAGTCTGGGATATCATACAGGAACATTGTACACATGATTTAATCGGTCATAAAGGAGTCATATGGTATGTAAAATTTACACTTTTATCCAAAAAAAAAGTTCCCTTGTTCGCCTGCGTGTAAAAATCATCTTGGCAGTTGGAATACAATGAATCTGGTGCTGGATGGGGGGAGGGAGGGCATGGCAAGGAAAGGCGACCAGTCATTAGAATGATAAGGAAAGGCAACCAGTCATTAAAATGTCTAAGCATTGGCGTACTTGTAAATAACCCTTGGCAATTGGAAAAAAACAAAGGGTAAGTGGAAAAAAACACCATCAAGCCACAGTTTCCCCTCATAGCACACTGCACAGCATATGTCCGTCTTCATTAGCCTGCATGTCTAGAAAGGCACGACGTTAAACTCTATTTTATTTCACAGTATTGTCATCACTAGAAAGCTTTCTAGGTGCTCTTACTCATATGTAATTGAAATGGTACACGTCAAATATTAGTATCAAGTGTAGAAGAAAATTGAAAGTAAATATGTTATGGGAATAACTTAATCTTAGATGTTTTAAAGGAGCTGTCCCAGATTTCAAAGAGTACTTCTGGATTTAAGTATACAAACTAAACACTAACATATTGATAAATAGCTCAAGTACCTTGTTTGAAGGTTTCAGTTCAAAATATTGAGCTGTTGGTTTATCGCTACTTTATACATAGGCAAGTATAAAGACAAGGCTATTCAGACACTTGGCAATAGCATGGGACTGGAGGATTTAGTGCCAACGACATAAAAACTAGAAGCTTGTAACACACCACTTTAGATAGTTTTACAGGTATAGGGTAAACATTTGTAAGAGACTTTCACAGACAATTTACCCAGTTTGATTCATTAAAATATATCAGGGGCGGTTCCTTTAATTGTAAAATACTATTCTTTATGCTCTAACCCTTTCTTGATATTATATACTGTATACAAGAAATCAAATAATTCATGGTTATATACATGTATAGTTTTTTTTTTTCAGCCAAGTATGAACGCATGGCTATTTATTTATTTTATTTATTGTATATTTTCAGTGCTTTAGCGTTTAATCCCAGTAAGAGTCGTTTACAGTTAGTATCAGCTGCTGATGATAATATGATTCGGATATGGGATTTAGTTACTAGTACATGTGTTAATGAAATACAAGCACATTATAGTACTGTAACAAGTTTAGTATTTACACCAGATGGAGACACTATGTACAGGTAGGTCAAATATCTAGGTATCGTATATTTTCTCAAAGTATAGGTAAATTCCCCAAGCAACAAACTGTTTTTTTTATAAACAATACTTTATTCTCAGAAAGTGATCGTGAATAAGATAATGTTTATGAACAATAAAAATTGTTGCTTAATCTGATTAAAACACAGATCCTAAATCGTTTCGTTTTTATAGTTCAAAATTTCGTTTTACTTGTTTTTACTACACTAGGATCTGGAAGAGTTGTTATATAACCAGTTTTCTGGTTGATGTGAGCGATTAGCCAATGAAACGGTCTGTTGTGGTGAGTTCTTGGTTAATCAAATGTCTGATGTCATAGGGGCAAAAGCCACTCGTATGACCTCCCACTACAACTGGTCAGATATTCATTTAGTGGAGGCCATCAAAAGTATAAAAAACTAAACAAATATAGATCTGATTTTAATCAGATTGATTATTGCTTGGAGAATTTGACAAGACTGTATTAGAAGCAGAGTAGTTTGAACTTTTTATCAACCTATTACGTAATATCGTTATCTGATATCTATATATCTACGTTAGAGTATATTTTATTATGTGATTTATTACATACTAAATGGACCAGGAATAGATCTTGACATCATTGAAGCCATCTTTGAAATGTGACATCATATCAAAGATCAAAATCTGTCAATTCATGAACAATTGTCCAAGGAACAAGTTTCATATAGATCGTACTTGAATAACAGAGTCTTAGGCTTTTTTCGAAGAGTGTCACCCTTAAGAAGAAGAACAACAACAAGATCAGTAGGGCTTGGAGACCAGTTCTTAGTCTGAATATAGATCAGAAAGAGCTCTTGACTTGATGATCAAAAGGTTTCCAGGGTTTTTTCCAGTATGATTGAGGTTTTCAGAATTAGTTTAACTTTAGTGATATTATGTATTAACCATTACTTACTATCGTTCATTATGTTTATATTATAGCACTGCTATCGTTCATTATGTTTATATTATAGCACTGCTAGAGATAGTGTTGTTGTTACCTGGGATATGAAAGAAATAAAAGTACTAAAGACTGTCCCTGTTTTTGAGGTGAGAGAACTTTGATTGCCATGTTTCAACTGTCTGGTTTATGGTTACTGAATTTTATCTCATAGTGACAACTCACAGAGCTTATGTACTTGTCACATACCATATATTTTGGGGTATATAAGCAAATACTTTTTTTGCAGAGGTTGGGCCTTTGTCTTCTACGCCGCATTGACTTATATATGGATGACAGTAAAAAAAAATGATATCCACAATTTTTTTTTCTCAGTAACTGTCTCCTTACGATCATAATGTTTGTCATTGAGTCAAGTGGCGTGGTTTCGATCCCAATCTTGTATGTGACAAAGAGTAGGGTCACCTGCCCATGCTTGTGGGTTTTCTCAAGTTACCCAGGTTTCCTCCCACTGCTACAAACCCATTCTCTTAAGCGAATTATTGAAATAAAATTGTACCATATGACCTAGTTTGTGTCAAGTGAATGTTATTTGATCTGTGTATGTATATTAATATTTATAATTCCAGAGAATAGAATCATTAATGATTTTAGATGATACGATAGATTATAGTCAATATAATGTAGATGATACATCACCATATTATGTTATAGCTGGCAATAAAGGTAATGTATACCATACACTAGATACAATGATAAATTGGTATCGCTTTAATCTTCAGTAAATTAATGTTATATTATATTCAACTTTTACTTTATACCAGAATCACAACCGGAAGATTATCTACTTTTATATAATCTATTAGTGTGGATTCAGCTATAAAAAATTAGGTATTTTCCGAAAAAAGCAAAGGGCAATCAGTGACATTAAATTCTCTCCACTTAGGTAGAATTGTAGAGAAGTGTCTTTAAACAATATCAATATTATTGTAGACAAGTGTTGATAAATAATATTATTGTAGACAAGTGTTTATAAATAATATTATTGTAGACAAGTGTCGATAAAAAATTTTATTGTTGACAAGTGTCTTTAAAGAATTTTATTGTTGTCAAGTGTCTACAAACAAAATTATTGTTTTTAAATGTTATAAATGTAATATTTTTGGTCGTAAGCGGGTAACTATGATCCAAATATTTCACAAAATGTTTTATAGAAGTTTTCTTATGCTGGATCTTTTCTTTGGAATGGGCTACCACAATCAATGAAACAATTACCGTCTGTGGGCCATTTGAGATCTCAACTCAAAACATTCTTATTTCAAAACCCTGATCTGTAAATAATCAGTGAATATAAAAACCAACAGCGCCTTAGAAACTGTTTTCTTCAGTATTAACTGCTTTATAAATGACGATATTATTATTATTAAGATATTATTATTTAATTACGTGATTTGCTAATGTAAATCTTATAATTGATAAATGTTACGAAAATGTTTATATTTGTAGGAACATTAAGTATATGTTTTATATTTGTAGGAACATTAAGTATATATGTTTTATATTTGTAGGAACATTAAGTGTATATGAACATTAAGTATATATGTTTTATATCTTTAGGAACATTAAGTATATATAAATCAACAAGTGGTAAATGTGTATATAGTAAGAAGTTAGTAACAGTAGATGCCGGTAAATCTGAAGATGAACAAGTTATAACCCAAGCTATTTATCATCCTATATTACATAGTTATATAGCAGTAACATATGATCATAATATACTAGTTCTAGATCAACAAGACTTCTCTATACAAAAACAGGTAAAATTATATCACGCATTTTAAATATATTAGAAACTGAGTTATAAAATGAATCAGATTTTTGAGAAGTAGTGTTTGGCTTTCACTGTAACTGCTTTTTTATCAACTGTACTCATAATACCTGTTCCTTATTTGCAACTTTACTAGTGTCTCTGATAAGATTTCTAAAATATCCTACTTTGATGAAATTTGAAAGGAAAAAGTGGAGACAAGTGCCGTGACAAGAAATAGGCTCATCTGCTTAACCTTGTTTGTTTTCAATCAATTCTTCAGTTTCCTCCCACTGCTAAAGCGCCTACAGAAATGTATTGAAATAAAATTGTCTACCATATGTTAGTCCCAAAATGACCTAATTGGTTCAAGTGGATGTTAAAGATGGGTTCCCAGAAAAGTATTTATCGGGTGGTTATTTCCAATAAAAGTATGGCAATTTTGGTATATATGGAAAGCAGAGATATCCAATCTTACTAGAAAAATACTGGATTCCCCAAATAACACTCATGGAGCGTATACAGGACAAAAATGTAAGGGTTCCCCTAATCAACAGCCCGACGATTAGGAACTTCTGCACGCGTGATGTCAAAGGTCACAAGCGAACATTGAGCGCTTGATGTACAAGTTGATAAACTTTATGAAGAGTTAGATGTACAATACTTTCTGAGATAAAAATGACCGGAAAAGACGCGGGTAGTGGATAATCCGAGAATTTAATTAGGATTCGATATTTGTAATAAATAGTAAGTGATTAAAGACAACATCGTCTTATGTATGCAATGAATTCTCCTCTGACTCCCAAGACGTGACGTAAACATGACCTGGTTTGATCGAATTGTAATAGCAGGGCATTCCTTCGCAATTACAATGTTTGAGAAGGATTTGAAGCATAATTATGACAAATTAATTAGTTTGAATATGTTTTTGGTCCATATATACCATTAAATCACCCAGTTTGTACGCGGGAACCCATCTTTAAACCCATTTTTTCTCTCTCTGGAGTATATTTGTTATGTATTAAAATTTTTTTTTTTCTGCTGATAGTTTGCTGGTTATATGGATGAGGTATTAGATATACATTTTGTCGGTAAAATTGACAGTCATTTAGTAGTGGTAACAAACAGTGAAAAAATTAAAGTTTATGAAAGAGGAACATGGAAATGTCAGATATTGAGTGGACATACAGATATTGTATTAAATGTTTCTGTACATAAAGAATCAGGATTGATAGTATCTAGTGCTAAGGTAGGTGTTTCACTACCATTCCACCCTCATGCCATCTTTTCGGCAGGGTATTTAATTATGATACTAGGAATATTGTAAACCCTTTTATTGTTAAAGTAGCTAAGTCTCTAACTCAATATCATCCAAAGTCTTACACGTTAAAAACACAAATTATTTGTCAATTTGAATCAACATTGATGTTGTAATTTTACCGGGAAAAGATGGGTTTCTGATATCCAATATTTAAGACAAAATAATCATTTTACCAATAGTGTACCATAGTGTGTTTCAGCGTCATTTGTAACAAATGACCAGAAAGAACGAGGCTAGACATATTCAACAACTCATGTCAAACGGTGACGCCATATCTTATCTGGAGAGCATGTGCAATAGACTGGAATAACCAGACGCTAGAAATTGGCATTCGGTTGAGACTTATGCCGTATTTCGCTTAACATAACTGATTTGAAATTAGAGTCAAAATGGAAGCAATTGAATGTAAATAAGTTTATACACAATCAGATTACATTATTATATGCGTTGCGACCCATTTGGGTCAGTTTCTAGGTCCCAAATATTAGCGATTTAGCTCCTTTAAGATAACATTTAAAATTATGACATTGATCAGATTGAAATCATTTTTGTACTGATAATCCTTTTAAACAGTATTGTGGTTTGCGAGAGATTAACAAGGTATGAGGACCCTGATCATTTCTGCAAATTTGAACCTGTTTTTGCTGTTACAGTTATAGATACATAGGAACTTAAAAGATTTTACCTTATACCCTGAGGATACCAAATGATATTGTTGTTTGCAGAGGATTCAAAATCTGGCAAATGATGATCTGCAGACTCCTAGTTTTATTTCTGGAGCATATCTCATAAATTGTTCCAGATATCTTTATGAAACTTTGTTAACTTATCAATATCAATCTGTTTTAGCAGTTGTGCTACCGGTAATTAGAAGTTGCTAGGATTTATTAATTTATGGTATACAAGGGTGCATGATGTTTGTATGTCTACAATACAGTTCTGTATATATTTGTATTTCTGTAGGATAGTACTGTACGTGTATGGCAGTTTGAAGAAGATACTGGTAATATAAGATGTGTTGCTATAGCAGCAGGTCATATACAAGCTGTAGGTGCAGTAGTATTATCAAAGTAAGTAGTCTATAATCTGTATAATGGTTACATTATCAGTACAACTGAAAGATAAGCCATGAGCAAGGAATATTTTTATTATTGTATGGCAAATCCAGTTAATAAAGGGAGGTCAAGAGGTCTAACACGTGCGTAATTGAATCAAGTAGCATGGCTTTGATCCCAAGCTCATACATGAGCAGGATCACCTGCCCAACCTTGTGTGTCTTCTCCAGGACCTTAAGTAGTGGACACACTAGCCTAATAATTCGGCCGAATCAATCTGGGCCGAATTGCAGGGGCGAATGAGTGGAGAAGTACACTAGGCGAATCCTTCGCCCGATTCACCAATCGATTGCTACACCTTTCACGTCACATGATTAAACATGGCAGCGACCATGTCTTCAATCAATCACGTGACTTCTCAATATGAGTGGTGATTGGCTAATGAATTCTACATTGGGGTGACACTGGGCAAATATATCAAATGTTTAATTCAGGCGAATCATTCGGTCGAGTGACAGTGGACACACTAGGCGAATTTCAGCTAGTGTGTCCACTGCTTAAGGTTTCCTCCCACTGCTAAAGACCCAAATGTGCAAGCATTTTATTGAAATAAAATTGTACCATGTTAGTTCCGAAATGACTTAGTTTGTGTCAGGTGGATATTAAACCCCATTTCTCTTAGTCTCCCCGGTTTATAAAAGACATGTTTTAGAATTATAATTTAATATATTTGTAAACTGAATACACTCCAGCTATGGTCAGAAACTTAAATATAATCTGTCATTATTGATATTTCACAGAACAAGTCCAGATTTTATTATAAGTGGTAGTGAAGATAACACATTAAAAAAATGGATGTTACCATCAAAATTTGAAGAGGATGAAATGATAACATTAAAAGCCACAGTTACAGATATAGCACATGAAAAAGATATAAACTGTGTTGATATTTCACCGAATGATAAATTTATAGCTTCTTCATCTTTAGATAAAACAGCTAAGGTCGGTGAACTGTTATGTAATTGATACAATTATGTCATTTTAATAAGAAAATAACTATAATGTTTCTGTCAGCTAAGTTCTTTTAAATTATAGCCAGATGCTTACACGTACAAGAGCTTCACTGTAATATTATTGAGAGGCCATGTTGACACTGTTTTTGTCAACTAAATTCTTTTGAATTACAGCCTACGTGTACAAGAGCTTCACTGTGATATATTGGGCACCATGCTGACATTTGACATTTAATATACTGTGTGGTCCCAGTAAATTAATCATTTTGCCTTCTCCAAAAAGTGGACTTTCTTCCCATCTAGAATAGAATAGGTTAAATCAAACCATATCCGAAAATCTTTACAAATTGTACTCATCTTTTGTTGTCAGATTTCCGTAGCCGAGTGTTCTAACATGTCCATTGTTGTGTAGAATTTTAAACTCCCATTTCTCTCACTGCATCTTTTGCTCATCAAGCAACTATCTAAGTCTGTCATCCAAACCATGACGGAAGTTCTATTGATTAAATTGAACTGGGTAAGTCTAGTAATATATTTGAGAAGAGTAATATCATTTGTAATTTATAAAATGTTTTTATTTATTCCTAAAATTGTAGGTTTGGAAAGGAAATGATTTAAAGTTATTAGGTATTATGAGAGGTCATAGACGTGGTATATGGTGTGTACAGTTCTCTCCCGTTGATCAGGTATTGTTGATAATTTCATTTCATAGTCAAGCCCAGTTTACCCTTTAGTGGTGTGGGAAAGTGAGATAGAATGGTACAATACACCAAGGCCCTGTGCATGTAAAAGATCTCTTAACAGTTAATTTGGAAGAAGATTAGGCTGAAGCACGGAGTATCAGGGCAAAGGCATATGCCCGTCTTTATTAAACTGGTTGGTGCAGAAAAGTAAGACTTTAGACCCCATATTATTTTACTGGTAGTCGAATTGATAAAGCACCTTACTTGTATTACAATCAGCTACCAATCCATTCAATACCAATATTTAATATACTGATCTTTTTATTAAATGTAAATAATTCTTTATTTCAGTGTCTTTTAACTGGTTCAGCAGATTCCACTGTTAAGATATGGTCATTAATAGATTTCTCTTGTGTCAAGGTGAGTTACTATTATAACCATTTAAAAGGAAGATCTGGTCACAAATCGTGACTACTTGGGGGGAATAAGTTTGGTGATAAATTTTTATTACATTTTCTGTTTTTTTCTTTACCAAATGTAAATAATATTGTACCGGTACTGTGTTCAAGAGGAAATTATTGTGAAACATGTATGTAGAATTAAAGGCTAGTGAACATAGGCAGAATACTCACTAATTACTTTGGGGACTGTCTTTAAGGAGAGGAACCTGGATTAGCTACTCACTACTC